CTCCCCTCTCCCCTCTCCCCCTCCCCTCTCTCTCTCCTGTGCCTGTGTGCCTGTGTGTGGGAGGAACAGTGAGGCTTTATAGCTCCAGGCTGTGGGGTTCCCCAGCCAGCTGGTTCAAACCTCACTCCAGTGAGAGGCAGTCTGGCCTCAGCAGTGGAGACTGAGGCCTTCAAAGTCTGCCTTACTGTTGGCATCCCATGGCAGGTATTTCTCTGGCTGGAAGTATTCTGTTTCCACCCCTGTAGAAAACTGTGTCCCCTTTCCCACAAATCCCAGACATGTCCCTGTGGCGTGGTGTTGGCTGTGAGAGGCTTGCGTGGCTAATTTGTGCCTTTATCAGGATGCTGAGCTGAGGGGGACCTTCTGTATCCATGGCTGCCCACTGTGGTTGGGTGTGGCCTGTGATACTTTCTGTTTAGATCAGACAGGCAGGCCTCAGAAGTCACCCCACCAGCCCTCACCTTTGTCTTTCAAACTCCTCCCAGTTAAGAAGTCAGATGAAGTGTGTTGGCCTTGTCTAGAGTTGCAAGCTTGCTGGGTTACCTGGGACCAGGGCATATATGTCTTCCCTAAGCCTGGTTTTCTCTCTTTGTGAAATAAAAGGAGCGGGAGCAGTGAGGAGCAGCCACAGAAGGGCCTCTGAAAGGCCTCTGGCTTTGCTAGGCCCCCAATGTATTCAGGCTGGCACACATGCACTGCATCAGCCAACCAACAGCTCTTCCACTGGTCAATTTTGTTTGATATTTTATCCAGCGCCTCCCAGGTCACAGCCCCATCCTTCCCAGCTTCTCTTGATTCTGACTCCTGGGAAGTGGATGTAACAGGTGAGATTTCTGGGCTCTACCTTAAAGATTTGAGTCAATAGGTCCAGATGGGTCTAGGTACTCACACTCTAGATTCTCTCTCAGGGTTCTACAGACTATCAGGCCAAGAGCTGGCTGGCTGGGAGTGGTAGAAACAGATGGAGATTTCTGAGTTCAAAGGCCAGCCTGGTTTATATGATGAGTTCTGGGCCTACCAAGACTACATAGTGAGACCATGTATCCAAAAAAAAAAAAAAAAAAGACATTGAGGCTTCTCAAACAGATCTTGAAACTTTGTCCCAAATTTCCCAGTTCTGGACCAGAGCACAGCTCTTGGTGAATGCTAGGTTTGATGAGGCAGGATCTAAGATGCACCAGAAGGCTTCCAGTCTAGGTGGAATACCCTTAAACATGAGTGCTCCAAGCACACAGGGCTGGAAAGGGGGAATGCCAGGAGAATGGCGGTCCTGGGTCACAAAAAGGGGTCCCCACCCACCCAGGACTGGACATAAGGGGCCAGTGACATTTAGGTTCTGGGTGAAGTTCAGAGAGAGCTCTGCAAGAGCTGGAACTCATTCCTAGTTCTTGAGCTGGGGTTGACCTGGCTGTCAGGCAGAGTCTGCTGGAAGTGCGTTGGTGGAGGCCATGCCTCCAAGGAGTTTCCAGCAGTTGGTGTGTCTGCATCTCGTGATGCCCACCTAAGTGGCAGGTCATGAGAAGGCAGTGCTGTGCCCTTGGTGGGTATCCGAGAGCTAATCTGGGCTAGCAGCGGAGAGGCAAATTCGGGGGTTGCCCTGGGAGATGCCCTGTGCATGGAGGAAGACAGCTGATTGTGTCAGCCTCCAGATACTCCCCACATGGATTTTAATGCTGAGTTTTTCTTCTAGCCAAGCAGTAGCTGGTGTTAGGCACCATCTTGTAGCCCTGGAAGCCGCTGCCACCGCCACCCGCTGCACCAACGTCCGTCAGCCTGACAGAGTTAGATATGACTCCCGTGCACCCAGGTTTGCAATAGGAGTTTATTCTCTGCCTCTGGCACCTACTATCTCCACAGGGTGGGGGTATTAGGAGTGTCCCCACTCCCCCCACCTCCCTCCAGTTCCCTCTTTGGAGTCTCCTGTGGCCATCCGTGTTGGGTTTCCTGTGATAGAGTTTGGTGGGGCCATGGCCTTGGTTTCCTCGCCTACAGAATGGGGTTGTATCTAGATGTGCTTCTGTGGCCCCTACCATGCAGTTTCCAAGGGAATTCCCTGGTACTTGACAAACCTTTGGGGAAACACCACAGCAGGTTCATCACAGAGTCACCCGGAGAGCTAGCTACTCAGGAAATGTGTTATGTGATAGAAATTGAAGATTTGGTGCTCTCCGAAACAACAATGAAAAACTGTTCATCTTCTTGGGGGAAGTTGTGCTCTGTGGCCGGGAACAGGTTCCAGATCATCCTTCCTCTCTTTCTCGTGCGCACACACAGTGTGTGTCTGTCGCTGTGCTTTGCCCTGTGGCTCTGCAGGGTATGCCTGCGCTGAGCATCAGCAGGCCCCTGACACTCTTTGATGTGTTTACTGTGATTGACGTCAGGAAGCAGCTAGGACTCTCAGTGGGAGGCGTGAGTGATAGCCAGCTGAGCACAGGCTGGTGGTGTGGTGAGAGAGGCTATGAGGCCTTTGCCCCGGAGGCTGGCTGTCACTGCCTGGTGAGGGTTCTGATCATCACTCTTGGATGCTCTAGAGTCCCTCATCAAGGGCACTCTGGAGCCAAGGTGGGGTGTGAGAAAGCATCCTTCGGAGGTCCTCAGCTTCTAGGGGGCGGGGTGAGGAGGCAGATACAGTGTCTCCTTCATTCAGAACAGAGGATGGCTTTGGGTAGAAAGTGCCATGCTTTTAGGTCCATAGTCTGCTTGGCCTTTGGTGTAAGTAAGGACATCCTTCCTGTGGGGGAGAAAGAAGCACTAAAAGAGGAACACTGCAGGGAGGGGTGTTTTTAAAATATTACCCAGACATTGCACCCACTGTATAGAGGGTAAGGTTGAGGCCCAGGGACAGTGACTTGCCTGAGGTCACTGCCTGCTGTCCATGAAACCACGGCTTCAGGCAGTGTGGAGGGGTCACAAGGTGGCCTGACTGACACTTGGGGCTGCTTTTGCATTTCTGCAGAGAGAGAAAGAGAAACGGGCTCTGCTTCTCTCTCACACACAGAGTACACAGGTGCAGCCGTGGGTCTCTGTAGCTTGAAAAGGGGAAGTTTGTGGACGTGGTAGAGGCCTCCAAGAATAATCTGGGGCTCCACAGGGCCTTCGCCAGGACCCTGGTGCCCCACCCCCACTACAAGAGACCCATGGCCCTGATGCTGGGGAAGTGAGGCTGCTAGCTGTGAGTGACAGCCCTGTGGCCGGGTGAGTCAGTGCCAGGAGCTGGTGCCTGCTGACTCACCCTCCCCTGGCTCTTCAGCTGAGGGGGAGGAGAGGGGGTGGGGAGGGGGGAGGGGCACTAGAGCTTGTCCACCTAGAGACTAAAGGAGACAGGTGGCTGGCCTGGTCAGGAGCTGGGCGAGGCATCCCTGAAGCTTTGTGTGTACACAGTCTCCAGGTGCACACACCCCAGCCCTGCTTCTAAGACAGGCCCTGAGCACCCTGGAGACACCATGGTGCAGTCATGTCTCCCCACTTCCTTCTTCTCCCTCCCCCATCAGATCCCCTCTCTTTTCTTCCCCCTTCCTCCTCTCTCCTCCTCTTCTTCCTTCATCTGCCTCTCCCCTCCTTTTTGCCCTCCTTTCCTCCCCCTCCTCCTCCTGCTTAGCTTTGTTACTACGAGCTGGAGGTCTGCTGAGTAGCCAGCTCAGAGGGGAGGGGTCTTTCCTGTACCTCCTCTCAGCCTCTTCTTACCTTGGAAGCCCCTCCTGTCTCTCCTATGAACTTCCCACAGTTTGTGCTTCCCCACTGTCTCTGATCCTAGAGAACAATAGGATGACCCCATAACCAGACCAAACAAGTAGATGACAGGCAGGTGACAGATGGGGCTTTGTTTCCACACAGACGCCTCCTGCCACCAGGGAGAACTGCTCCTCTGAGCCAGACCTGGAGCCACGTTTTGTAAAAGAGTGGCCTTGAGCTTTGCAGAGCTTGGCTTCATCTCTGGGGTCTGGTGCTAGCCTTGTGCTGACAGATACTGTCTTCCCCATAGCACGAGTAGTGGGCCTTAGGAAGGTCAGTCACCCACTGGTCCTTTGCACACAAAGCAGCTGCCTTGCACCCATCCCCAGAGTAGCTCTGCTCAGGGTTTGGGGTTAAATGACCAGAAGGTCACATAACACCCCAAGTAGGCCCTTCAGACTCACTTCATGAGCTGAAAGGAGGGCTAGCCAGGGACTCAAGGGTAGATGGGGCTTGTAGATTAAAGGGTTTTTACCCCTCAGTGGGACGGTGGGACACTCAGGATAAACCTAAGTTTAAACCTGGCCTAGAGGTCTTGTGCCCACAGGCACTGGTACCCTCAGGCCACCTATCTATTTGCCAGGTCTAGTTGCCAGGTCTAGTATAGTCATCTTTTAAGTTTTGTTTATTTGTTTGTGTTTTTGAGACAGGATATGTAGCTCTGGCTGGACTAGAACTTGCTATGTAGACCAGGCTAGCCTCAAACTCACAGAGATCTACCTGCCTCTGCCTTCTGAGTGCTGAAGTTAAAGGGGTGTACTACTATGCCTGAACATGCGCGCGCACGCATGCGCGCACACACACACACACACACACACACACACACACACACACATGCACACACACAGATGAGCTATCATGTGGGTGCTGGGAACGAATTCCAGGTCCTCTGGAAGAGAGAGCAGTAGGTGTTCTTAACCACTGAACCACCCCTCCAGACCCTAGTATGACTGTCTTTGTGTATACTTTCCTCTCCCCTCAGAACTCTATTCCCCCACATCTTCTAGATAGGTCTCAGCTTAATGGCAGTGTGGTGGAAAGCATGAACTGTCTGGATATAGATTCCAGCTGTGTGCGTGGTTGTAAACAGAACCCACATCGCTGTATCTTCTTGGCCCTGTAAGCTGGTAAAAGGTATTATTCAATTTTGCAGGTTCCATCTGGAGATTCTCTGGTGTCCTGGGGGATGCCAGTGTCCTGGATTCTGGGTATAAATCCTGAGAATTTGGGGCAAGAGTGTCCCTGCTCTGAGCCTCAGCCTCCTATCCTGGGCTTCAGAGGGGTGGGGCTGCAGCCAGATCAGGAGTGGGAGGGATGAGTCCCAGGTAGACAGGCACCCTGCCCAGAGATGGAAAGCTAAGATAATGCAAGTTCACTTTCACTTGGACAAGAGCGAGGCTGCTCATTGTTTTGTGAAGCCGCCAGCTTCCTGGTTGACCTCATGATGACAAGCCATTGTGGCTCAAGCCAGTGAGCCAAGTATATATATCCTGACAAGCCTCACCCTGCCTTCACAGGGGTTATGATGACTGAGCTGGGCAGTGATCTGACTGAAGTGGACCTCAAAGGGCCCAGGCTGGGTCACCCCCCTTTTCTTTGTGTTTAGAAGACAATGTGCTAGGGAAGTTAGAAAACAGACCAGTGCAGTCCAGATCTCTTAAGACATCTCGGAGGATATGGTCCCGGGGAATCCCAGTCCCAGAGGCACCTTTGGTGTTGGGAGCCTAGAGGTGCCCATTTTCCCTGTTCCCTGCTCTTCTGTTTGGCCTTTGCCTGCCAGACCCCTGGAGATGGTTCTGTCGTCACGCTTGACTTAGCCTCTTTGCACAAATAGATAACCAGAAGATGACAGCCATAAGATTCAATTACATGATTAAATCTGTTAAATGTGTATGTACTTAAAACACAAAGACTTTAAAAAAATTAATTTCTCCTTAATTTTTTTTTTTGAGCCAGTCTCATGTAGCCCAGGCTAACCTGCAACTTACTATGTAGCTGAGGATGACCTTGAACTCCTGATCCCGGTGCTTTCTCCCAGAAGCTGAGATTAGCTAGCTCTTATGTTCTCTTAACAGAAGCATTTACATGGCTTAAAAGGCAGAGCTGCATTGTTAACTCAGCTCACTTGATTCAGTGAGCTTGCTAAACACTTCTTAGGGCCAAGCATGGAACCTGAGCAGAACAGCATACCCTTGGCAGACAATTCTAGTGGCTCACAGCCCTCCTACTCAGACATTACTAATGGGTCCCAGCTCTCCTGCTCCTTGTACCTGGATGTATCTCTCTGTAGAGACTGTACCAATGATCCCCTTCTGGTCTGTGAGATATTCTTGCTGACAGAAGCAGGCCCCTGTGCACAGTGTTGTTTTATCTGTGTCCACAACACAGTCCCATGACCCCTGGTCCAGCCTGTCATGTCATGTGGTCCTTCACTTCCCTGTTTGTCCTTGAGTTTGGTTCCCTAATTTGTCAGCTGGCCCAGTAGCTTGTCTGTAATTTTTTAAAAATTATATTTATTGAATGTGTATGGGTTTGTGTGTGCACACTGGCTGTGTGAAGGTCAGAGGACAACCTACTGGAGTCAGTTCGCTCCTTCCATCATGTGGGTTCTAGGGCTTGAGGCAAAGTGCTTTTGCCCACTGAGCCATCTCATCAGCCTGGAGCTGGCCACTGCCTCCTCCTCCTCTTCCTCTTCTTCTTCTTCCTCCTCTTCTTCCTCTTCTTATTTATTCAAAGGGTTTATTTAATTTTATTTTATGGGTATGAGTACTTTGTCTGCATGCATGTCTATGCCCCACATGCCAGCCTGAGTGGGTGCCGCTGGATCACTTGGGGACTGGAGTTACAGGTAGTGAACTACCTTGTAGGTGCCGAGACTGAACTAGCATCCTCTGAAAGAGCAGTAAATGTTCTTAACCACTGAGCCATCCCTCTGCCCGGTAGCTGGCTTCTTAAAGGCACCAGGCTCTATTTTACTTGTAAAGTTGTAGGGATGTCATCCATGACTGTCACAAGTAGTTGAGAACATGGCTTTGGAGGTTGGATGGACCTAGGAGCCACTCACAGCTCAAGTAG